TGACATGTTATAAGGCAGAATGGGTCTAGAATTAGGTTCAATACAAGGATTGGTGTTGCATAAAAAGGATGACACTGATTTCTTGACTCCCTCATAAGTCAAAATGTCTGTTTTGATATTGTATTATATTTTTCCATCATCATCGATCATGTCTCCCCCTTGTTATACCCTTTTTTATGCCATTGCTGTAGATAAATAGTTTCACTCCCAATTCTATTAGCATTGCTATACCAAATAGATTTTGACAATTTCTCTTCATCACTTCTATTTTCACCCTTATCACAGCAATACAAATATGTTGACCATGAGGAGAGTACCTCCTTCCAAAACCTATTATGAATGTGAGGAGTAACCTTCTCTGTAATGTAATTGAAATCTGCTAAAAGTACATCTGCTAAATAAAGTAAATCGGGGTGTATTCAGTGAGATTGTTGAGTTCTTACTGATGGTTACACCCTAGCCTTGCTCCAAAGCTGTACTGAAGGCTAAGTCCATGTATGTATATTGTATAGTAATTCTCTACTTTAAAGAGGCAAGTCCACATAAGCGCATAATACAGGACGCCAGTCTGTTTGCGGGATATTTATATTTCTTTTTAGAAATTATCATTTAAACTATTTATCTTATATACTTGTGCAAGTCTAGTTACACCCCTTTGTTTATGTAAGTTTTAAGACCCCGTCAAGCTTAAACACTAAAACAAACAAGGTATCAAATGACAAATATGGGGGGTGTAACTTAAAATATACTGGACGACTTGCAAAACTCTTTAATCTTAAAGGAGTAGCCTGGTGGTTAAATGGCCGCTCGTCACGACTAAGATCCGGGTTCGATTCCAATGTGTGAAGCCCATTTCTGGGGTCCCTTGCCGTAATATTGCTGGACTATTGCTAAAAGAGGCGTAAAACTAAACTCACTCACTCACTGATATGCAGTCTGCATAGTCTAATGGAGTCTTGATGTTGGCCAGGAGGTGGTTTTTCTTTTGATGAAAGTGGTTTGATAGTTATTTCCTCCTTCGAGGAGGCTTTCGTCCTTCTGACCGGATCTGGGTGATGGTAATTTCAGACTGAACTTGTTCCCTCTGCGGGTATGATGAGGAACTGCGGGATGATAAGAGAAAATCCATTCTTGTTGTGCTAACCTTCTACATAGTTGGTAGTTCTGGCACCTTTGGTGTTGAATTGGTTTGATGTTGATCTGCCATCACTTGCACCCCATTGTTCGGCTACATATTCCGTAAAACTAAGCACCGCTGGATCTGCAAGGTCCGATTGTTCAAGGACAAGAAGCCACCCTTCGTGGCAGAAGCTCGTCTTACAACTGAGTTCACATCTGGATCATTGGTAAACATTGACTGTATATACACACCATGCAACACAATGCTAAAACAAGAATGAGAAACATGCGACAACAACCCTTATTGTTTCCCGAAACAACCAGATAAAAATATTCGAGCATGTTTATCCCTCGTGAAAGTAGCACGAGAAACACGTGGGCGAAACCTGCAAACACATGTAATACACCTACATGCTTACTTCCAGTCAGGGAAATGTATATTGAACATCGGAACAGAAACACAAACAACCAATATAATCATCGACTTTTTTTTCGTTTTTATCTTCTCTTTCATTTTTAGATAATCACTTTTCCAATTTGTAAGGAAATAACTAAGGATTGGCACAATGTTTTACCTGTTTCAACAGAATGGCGAATAACTTGAGTAAACCTCCTGCACGGCAAAGAAGGAAAGTGACAGTGTGGAGACATGTCCCAAGAAGAGTAAGCTTATCTGAAACTGTTTTCTTTACAATGTTGATAAACAGCATTACAATAGTCAAAATATGGCCCGCGGCTTTTCTTCTGTAGACGACAAAAGATTGATGAATGTCCTAAAGTATTGTGTGATTGCAGCTTTAATGTTGTTTTCACCCAATAAAGCTCTGCTTGAGAACAGCATCAACAGCATCAGAATCAAAGCGGCGGGATGTACGTATTCCACTATAACTTTGCGATAAATCGATAAAACGAAATAGAAGAGTTTTGTTGCTTCTGGGATTTATATCAACGCATTATGTCGACAACCGCCTGAATGCACCAGTTCAGGAGCTCTGATGTATGGAGATATCAGCTTCTGCGCTGTTTAATGAGACAATTAGGTGAAAGCTTTAGTGCTTCTTGAATGTAAGACGCAATGAAGGTACAACGAGTCGGCTGGTTTGAGAGCTAAACAGTTACAACACGGCTACAGTAACCATTCATCATAAGCGCATTTGTGCGCTGACCACGATCGTCCAATTCTTACTTATTCCTCAAATGACAAGGTGAGTGTGTAGGTTTAAGTATCAGATATTGTGTCATGTACACATTAACATTATGAATATATATGTTTTGAAAAAACCCTCATTTGGACTTTGTACTTAAAATGTTTATGAATGTAGACTTGATCTCGTCACTGTATGGTTGGAATACTGCCGATGTGACGTAAAGCCCAATTCAACTCAACTTAAAACTGAATTTTCGTTTATAAGTTTAGAATGGTTTTATGTAGATATATCTGTGTGCCGAAAATTACCAGGTGAAGCAGCAGTATTAACGGTGACAGCTGTCGAGGGTTTGCATGAACTGGGAGACATTTCTAGTTGTAACAGTAACGATTAAAATAATATTTCCGTATTGTTTTCTTCTTCAGATAACAGTGCTTTTCCAAATTCAGTTGAGCTTAGTTAGAGCTACAGGTAAATAGGTTATACATTGCAAACACTGACTGTGTGTCTCCTAAATATCCCGACACTGTGTTAAAACAACGAAATCTTGTTATACGAACGGCATGTGATAAAGGTTGGGACGCTACAGGGTTTACACTGAATCTACATCTCTGCAATATTGCAATATTACATAGCTCGATACAAACTTCGAGTGGGCTAGTTTAAGTACAACATTGACAAACCTTATCGATGACATTTTCTTCACGAAATAAAATACGTTGTTATCAATAATCTTTAAAATATTGTTTTTTTCTACTTTTTTTGTTGTACAGCAAATTATGTAATGTCATTCAACTTGTAACGTTACATTAAAGACTGACTGACTGAGTTTGGTTTTACGGCGCTTTTAGCAATATTCCAGCAACATCACGTCGGGGGGACACAAGAAATGGGTTTCACACATTGTACCCATATGGGGATTCGAACCCGGGTCTTCGGCGTGCCGAACCAACGCTTTAACCATTAGGCTACCCCACCGCCCCGTTACATTAAAGAATTCATATAGTGCCATACATCAATATACAAAGTTTCATTGAAGAAGGTAGTTCAAACGAAAGTTCAAAGTTCAAACGAACAACTCATGGCAACTGGACCAGAATTTGACAACTTGTTTTGTAGTCACAGTTGGAGTAAGCTATGGCTTTAGTTATGTTATAGTAATCTATTAACTCTTTCGGGATCAAAGCAAAGGAAAGCTTTCTTTGATATTTCTTGAAAATTGTGTTTTTTTGTTTCAAGACAGATTACGTTTAACGGTTGTCAATAAGGTTTAAAGAGTTTATAGTTAACGCCATATTACATCGGAAGAGTTTGCCTTCCGTTTCCGAACCATTACTGCCGTTTCTGCTTTCAAAACATGCGTACTTTTTGATTCAATCCCTACACATTTGTTATGCCATCGTCTGTGCAGTCTGTATGAATGAATAGGAATATAAAGATGAGATTTACTGAATAAGTGTGTTGTCAACATGACATTTTACACAGTTGACTATGCCAATCCCTTTACGATGTACATATTTATTATAGCAACTGAAGGGAAAGGTGAAGGTGGGGGTGGGTGGGGTTTAGTATAGTGGTTAAAGCTTTCGAAGAAATGGGTACAATGTGTGAAGACCATTTCTGATGTCCACCGCCGTGCTATTGCTGGAATATTGCTGCAAGGGGTCTTAAAGCATACTCACTCATAAGGGATAAAGATACGTGACTGATAGGCTGGCTAACCGATGGTGCCTCATTCATTACAGTTTGCAGATGACAAAAATTATAACTGTACGAAATTTTTTAGAATTTAGCAGTGATTTTTACAATCGAAATGCGTAAAAGGCTGAAAAGTTTGAATTCGCAAGTAAACAACTGTTAAGACGTAAAACGTTCTTTATATCTTCCTTCATGCCACTTAACCAAGAACCAGTTCTTCAAACCGATGTTTTTTTGGTTGTTTTGTAATCGTGACGTCTCTATATTTTCCTCACGAGAGACTGAAAAGGGTTATTGATGGACAGTCAATTGAAAACCCTTTGTAACGGTTAATCCTCGGGTATTCTTGTGGCCATGGCGATAGGAAACAAAACAAGGAATGTTCAATCTCATCAAACAGATGCCCAGGGAATGGTAATTCTTTAAAGAGAGACACAAATACATTCACAGTAAAATGAAGATCCTATAAAGACCGGATCTCTCTCGGATTTCTGGTGAATACTTTCATAAAGAAGCTGTCTTAGTAAGGTCAGCTTAAAAGAAATCTGTTTCTCATTTAACTGATTAGATTCATCTATTTATTACAGAAATAACTGTGCATACTTATTCTAGTTGAATATAAAATTATTTGTTTATATCGGCAGCATTTTTTCTTAAGTCCAAGTGGAGCCATGTGGAGACCTGCCACAGGATACAAGCAGTGTTGATGCTGGATGTCAGTGAACACTAATGATGATTGCAGACACGAATTTTTACTGAAGTCAGGCCTCGGGATTGAGTTGAGACCTGTTGAGTGAACAAAGCCTATGGATTGAACATAGCTACGTGCATATTGATCGTCCAAAGCTATATTGAACACATGAATAGTTTATGCACATTACTGAGTCGACATGTGCATTATGATTGGACACGTGCTTTTCAGCTGCATGCATACCTATTGATTGAACAGTTACAGACAGTTACGTTTGTATTAATTAGACACATGTGTATTGATCGGACACACTCATGTTGAAAGGAAATTATTTGTGAAATTACACTCTTATTGTTTACTGGATTATTCCATATTGACTGACAATAGATACTTTACCATTAAACGGACACTTTATTAGATATTGGGCACAACAATATTGGTTTGCCAGCAGTTGTGATGTTTCTAGTTAAGTTGTTCAACCTGGCCTTAGTGCTCTTTGTGAGGAGTCAACAGATTACCCAGGAGAACTTCTTCGCATGTTCTAAGAGAGAGTCGTTGAACACCACGATGCTCACCGTCCCCATCATCAGCCGAATCCAGTGCGGAGCCAAGTGCTTGAAACATTCTCAGTGCAAATCAGGACACTTTTGCCAGGAAGATGATGGTACAAAGTTGTGTTCTCTGGGATCTGATTGGCTCTTTGGAGGTTGTGATGTTTTACCAACCAATGGAAAGTGTTCTTCTTTTAAAATCGTAAGTTTATCAAAATATATTCATACTTTTCAACAGCCCCTTCGTATAAAGGCGATGGTCCATATTACACTGTTTTGTGGTGTTAAGTTTTGTCTGAGTGAATATATGTGGTATTACAGATATATTCCAATTAACGTAAAGAAGGATTGAAACTCCTACTCATGGAGCAGTATCAAGAATGATAACAATTATATCACTACACTTTTCATCAACTGATTCTTACATTGCAATAAATCATCAAATCATAACAACAGTGAAATTTGAAGGCATCACTGAATGTTTAATACTGTCTGCATAGCCACATCAGGTCATTGTAAGAAAATCCTACGTTTGTTTTAAAAGTGAACCTTTGGTTCTGTGATGCCAGTAAATAGTGACCCACATTACCTGCGACAATTAAACAATATTCATATCATTTGTTGCGGGTGTTAAACTAGATGAAGTTACTTTTGTGATTTTGAAAAAGGTGAACCCGTGTGAAAATGGTGGCTCTCTGACTCCCGATGGGTACAACTGCACCTGCCCTTCAGTCTGGTACGATACATTCTGTCAGAGACGCCGCTATGGTAAGTCAACCTAACATTACTCTATCGTACATCTACCGTTGTTACACTACGGACATGAAACGATAAAAATGTCTTTAAATCAGAGAATGAGAACAAACCTGTTTATGACATACGTTTTGAAAGATTTTTGTTATTTCAATAAATAATGAAGTCAATTTTTAAAGATATTGTTTGTTATTTGCGTGTGAATTTAAACAGGTGAGTCATTAGTCTTTGTCTAAACAATACAAATTACACTCCCTTGATTTTGTTTGGCCAATGTGATTAACGTCGCTATTCCGGCCGGTCTCACTGAGTTCGATTGGGGTTGCGAGAAATTCAACTTTGAAAAAAGTACTAACACGGACATGAAAACAACGAAATTTAAAAGATATACGAAAGAATCCCAATAGAGTATTTCGCATTTAGGATTTAAAAGCTTTTTCCATTCCAGATTGTATAGAACGTGAAGGTTCTGGATCTATCGTCACGGTAATACAACCAAAGTACTACGACAAAGCCCTTGTTGTTGTCTGTCAGCAACAGCAGAACACCCTTGTTGGATATTTTGTTTCAGTAATAAAACCAGGTGATCTGAACAAAACATATGAAGAATACAAAGTTGGCTTTGTAAATGACTTTGCATCCAATTGGATGGGACTGGAGACAATGCATGCCCTTACAAGCCAAGGAGAGTACAGGCTGACGATTAAACTAAACAGTTTCACTGGCTTACAGGTTGTCTATGATGACTTCAACGTGAGTAGCGAGGCTGAAGGATACTCTTTCAATTACGGTACCTTCCGAGCAGACCTGAGTAACTTAATTGATGGTTTTGCTGCCAACCCTTCTATTGGATCAGGGAGCCTTGTGGGTGTTCCTTTCAGCACGTACGACAAGGATCCGTATGGGTGTGCGGCTCTCTACGGGGCAGGCTGGTGGTACGACTCCAACTGCGGACCTGTGTTGGTGTATGATCCAACATCTGGAAGAGGGAGGTGGCCAGATACCCCTACAACTCTTAAAATGCACCAACATTTCATTTCGTCTTCAAGTTGATGCGATATTATTGACACAAACGAGAATGCTGAAATGCACCCATGCAGTCCCCCAGTTGGTCTATCAAGTTATGATTGTGCAACATATCTGCAAACAAGTGGTTAAAGTGCAATATCTATTTCAGGTATGCCATGGTGGAGGGAAAGATTATTTCACTGAACATGGCAGAAATCAATGCAGAAGCACTAAACACAATGGTCACCCAAATAAAATTAATTGTAGGGACTACATTTTATCACGAACTCTTTCTCTTTGTTTTCATTGAGTTGTCTTTAAGTATATCTCTGATTGCGTATGTATATCAGTACGTAGCGTGTATGAATGCTGTGAAAATACCCATGTGTTAGAGAGTTTCTATGTTTTAAGTTGTCTTTGTGTATATCCCATGAAGTGGTGAACATACCCATGTTAGAGTTTTTTTGTATGTATATCCCATGAAGTGGTGAACATACCCATGTTAGAGTTGTCTTTATGTGAAGTGGTATCCCATGAAGTGGTGAACATACCCATGTTAGAGTTTTCTTTAAGTATATCCCATGAAGTGGTGAACATACCCATGTTAGAGTTGTCTTTATGTATATCCCATGAAGTGGTGAACATACCCATGTTAGAGTTTTCTTTTGTAGATCCCATGAAGTGGTGAACATACCTATGTTAGAGTTGTCTTTGTGTAGATCCCATGAAGTGGTGAACATACCAATGTTAGAGTTGTCTTTGTGTAGATCCCATGAAGTGGTGAACATACCCATGTCAGAGTTTTCTTTTTTATGTATATCCCATGAAGTGGTGAACATACCCATGTCAGAGTTTTCTTCATGTATATCCCATGAAGTGGTGAACATACCCTTGTTAGAGTTTTCTTTATGTATATCCCATGAAGTGTTCAACATACCCATGTCAGAGTTTTCTTTATGTATATCAATGAAGAGGTGAACATACCCATGTTAGAGTTTTCTTTATGTATATCCCATGAAGAGGTGAACATACCCATGTTAGATGTATATCCCATGAAGTGGTGAACATACCCATTTCTAGTATATCCCATGAAGTGGTGAACATACCCATGTTAGATGTATATCCCATGAAGTGGTGAACATACCCATGTTAAGTGTATATCATGAAGTGGTGAACATACCCATGTCAGAGTTTTCTTTATGTATATCAATGAAGTGGTGAACATACCCATGTTAGAGTTTTCTTTATGTATATCCCATGAAGTGGTGAACATACCCATGTTAGAGTTTTCTTTATGTATATCCCATGAAGTGGTGAACATACCCATGTTAGAGTTTTCTTTATGTATATCCCATGAAGTGGTGAACATACCCATGTTAGAGTTTTCTTTTATGTATATCCCATGAAGAGGTGAACATACCCATGTTAGAGTTTTCTTTTATGTATATCCCATGAAGTGGTGAACATACCCATGTTAGAGTTTTCTTTATGTATATCCCATGAAGTGGTGAACATACCCATGTTAGAGTTTTCTTTATGTATATCCAATATGAACATACCCATGTTAGAGTTTTCTTTATGTATATCAATGAAGTGGTGAACATACCCATGTTAGAGTTTTCTTTATGTATATCCCATGAAGTGGTGAACATACCCATGTTAGAGTTTTCTTTATGTATATCCCATGAAGTGGTGAACATACCCATGTTAGAGTTTTCTTTATGTATATCCCATGAAGTGGTGAACATACCCAAGTCGGAAGCTCGTCTAACGACTAAGTTTGCATCTGGACCACTGGCAAACATCGACTGTATATAGTTTATGTAAAGACCATGCAACACAATGCTAAAACAAGAATGAGAAAAATGTGACAACAACCCTTATTGTTTCCCCAAACAACCAGATGATACACCTACATGCTTACTTCCAGTAAGGGAAATGTTTTTTAAACAGAAAAACAAACTGCAAACATAATAATCGTCATTTGTTTCGTTTTTATCTTCTCTTTCATATTTAGGCAATCACTTTTCCAAAATGTAAGAAAATACCCAAGGCTTGCAATAATGTCTTTACCTGTTTCTAAATCAATTAAATGATAACAGAATGGCGAAAATTTGAGTAAACCTCCTGCACGACAAAGAAGGAAATAAACATCTAAGTGAAAGTGAAAAGACATGCCCCAAGAATAGTAAACTTATCTCAAACTGTTTTCCTTACAAAGTTAATAAACAGCATCATAATAGTCAAAATATGGCCCTCGGCTCTTCTTTTGTGGACGACTAAAGATTGATGAAGGTCCTAAAGTATTGTGTGATTGCAGCTTTAATGTTGTTTCCCTCAACAGTATCAAAATCAAAGCAGCAGGGTGTCCCACTCTAACTTTGCGACCAATCAATAAAAAAAAAATCAGAAGAGTTTTGTTGCTCCTGAGATTTAAATCAACGCATTGTGTCGACAACCGCCATCTTGCAGAAGACACTGAATGCGCCAATTGGGGAGCTCTGATGTTTCGAGACATCACGCTTCAGCGCTGTTTAGTGAGACAATTAGGTGAAAACTTCAGTTTTTCTTTAAATGTAAGACGACAATGAAGGTACAACGAGTCAGCTTGTTTGAGTGCTAAACAGTCACAACTCAACTACTACAACCATTCATTATACGCGCATTTGTTCGCCGCGCTGACAACGATCGTCCAATTCTTACTTATTCCTCAGATGTCAAGGTGAGTGTGTAGGTAGAAGTATCAGATACTGTGTCCTGTAGAGATAACATTTAGAACACTCGTCTTAACATTATGAAGATACAATGTATATCTTTTGAAAAACTCATTCGGACTTTGTACTTAAAATGTTTATGAATGCAGACTTGATCTCGTCACTATATGGCTGGAATAATGCCGATGTGACGTAAAGCCCAGTTCAACTCAACTTAACTTAAAACTGAATTTTCGTTTATAAGTTAGAATGGTTTTATGTAGTGCCGAAAATACCAAGCAAAGCAGCAATATTAACGGTGACAGAAGCCAAGAGTTTGCATGAACTGGGAGACATTTCCAGTTTTAAAAGTAACGATGAAAATAATATTTCCGTATGATTTGCTTCTTCAAATAACAGTGCTTTTCCAAATTTAGTTTAGCTTATTTAGAGCTACAGGTAACTTGGATTTACATTGCAAACACTGACTGTGTGTCTCCTGAATATCCTGACACTGTGTTAAAACAACAACCTTCGTGTTTGCGAACAACATGTGATAAAGGTTGGGACGCTACAAGGTTTACACTAAATCTGACTCTCTGCAATATTGCAATATTACATAGCTTGATACAGACTTCGAGTAGGCTAGTTTAAGTACATCATTAACAACAGTTATCGATAACATCTTCATCACGAAATAAAAGAAGTTGTTATCAATAAATTTTTCTTTTTTCTTTAATCAACATTTTGTTTTGAATGTCATTCAACATATAACGTTACGTTGAAGATTTCATTTAGTGCCATACATCAATGTACAAAGTTTCATCGAAGAAAGTAGTTGAATAGAAAAGGCTCAAACAAACAACTGGACCTTCGGGATCGAAGCAATAGAAAGCTTTCTTCTCTTAAGATATACTTTGAAATTTGTGTTTTTGTTACCAGAAAGATTAGGTTTAACGGTTATCAATAACGTTTGTCAAGAGTTTCCTGTTAATGCCACATTACATCGAAAGAGTTTCCCTTCCGTTTCCGAACCATTACTGCCGTTTCTGCTTTCAAAACACGCGTACTTTTTCATCCAATCCCTTCAAATTTGTCATACCATAACGTGTGCACTCAGAATGATTGAATAGGAATACAAAGACGAGATTTACTGAATAAGTGTGTTGTCAACATGACATTTTACACAGTTGACTATGCCAATCCCTTTAGGGTGTACATATTTATCATACAAACTGAAGGAAGAGGTGAAGGTGGGGTGGGTGGGGTTTAGTATAGTGGTTAAAGCGTTCGCTTGACACGCTGAAGACCCGGGTTCCATTCCCAACATGGGTACAATGTGTGAAGCCCATTTCTAGTGTCCCCCGCCGTGCTATTGCTGGAATATTGCTGCAAGGGGCTTTAAACCATACTCACTAATAGAAAATAAAGATACGTGACGTGATCCTCGGGTATTCTTGTGGCCATGGCGATAGGAAACAAAACAAGGAATGTTCAATCTCATCAAGCAGATGCCCAGGGAATGGTAATTCTTTAAAGAGAGACACAAATACATTCACAGTAAAATGAAGATCCTATAAAGACCGGATCTCTCTCGAATTTCTGGTGAATACTTTCATAAAGAAGCTGTCTTAGTAAGGTCAGCTTAAAAGAAATCTGTTTCTCATTTAACTGATTAGATTCATCTATTTATTACAGAAATAACTGTGCATACTTATTCTAGTTGAATATAAAATTATTTGTTTATATCGGCAGCATTTTTTCTTAAGTCCAAGTGGAGCCATGTGGAGACCTGCCACAGGATACAAGCAGTGTTGATGCTGGATGTCAGTGAACACTAATGATGATTGCAGACACGAATTTTTACTGAAGTCAGGCCTCGGGATTGAGTTGAGACCTGTTGAGTGAACAAAGCCTATGGATTGAACATAGCTACGTGCATATTGATCGTCCAAAGCTATATTGAACACATGAATAGTTTATGTACATTACTGAGTCGACATGTGCATTATGATTGGACACGTGCTTTTCAGCTGCATGCATACCTATTGATTGAACAGTTACATACAGTTACGTTTGTATTAATTAGACACATGTGTATTGATCGGACATACTCATGTTGAAAGGAAACCGTATTAGTGAAATTACACTCTTATTGTTTACTGGATACTTCCATATTGACTGACAATAGATACTTTACCATTTAACGGACACTTTATTAGATATTGGGCACAACAATATTGGTTTGCCAGCAGTTGTGATGTTTCTAGTTAAGTTGTTCAACCTGGCCTTAGTGCTCTTTGTGAGGAGTCAACAGATTACCCAGGAGAACTTCTTCGCATGTTCTAAGAGAGAGTCGTTGAACACCACGATGCTCACCGTCCCCATCATCAGCCGAATCCAGTGCGGAGCCAAGTGCTTGAAACATTCTCAGTGCAAATCAGGACACTTTTGCCAGGAAGATGATGGTACAAAGTTGTGTTCTCTGGGATCTGATTGGCCCTTTGGAGGTTGTGATGTTTTACCAATCAGTGCAAAGTGTTCTTCTTTTAAAATCGTAAGTTTATCATACTTTTCAACAGCCCCTTCATATA